GGTTCAGGTGTTTCTAAGCGCTTGCATTTTGAAAGCCTGCGATTAGCCCTGCCGACTGCGTGCGCTAGCGCTGCGTCAGCAGAATCTGCCTTCTCGAGACGCTCGCAACCCTCGCGGCACGATACGTAAAACATTTTTTGGCGACGCGCAAGTGGCGTGCGCGTACACCGCGTTGGCGCCTGTGGCACTTCCATTGCTGAGCAGCTGGCTTTGAGGTTTTTCCAGCTTCTGCCAACTCGCAGGGGTGTGAGAACGCACGGGAGCATCGTGTAGAGGATGTGCGATTTCCCTCTTGAAAACCCTGTCGGGAGGTAGAGGCAGTTCTCTGTAAGTTGGTGATATGGGTGCGACAGGTGGTTGGGTGGTATCAAGCATGGAATAAACTTCTGTATGCTTACAGGTAAATGGGTTTGAATAGGTGTACTTTAATAAGAATGAAGAATGTTAATAGGTACTAAAACCGTAACCTGCTCTGAATATGTAAAATATTTAGGATTACGGAGACTTTGCCTCCTGTAAAATTTTGCAACACATAAAGATTCAGATCACTTGAGTAGAACCAATGGAACGCACCAGTTTGTACCAGTTGTGAACTGGCCTATAGTCTTTATAGTAAAATGTGAAATATCCCTATTTGTACATGCTTTGCTTCTATTGAAAATACTGAATTAAATGGGATAAATATGGTTTACTGTCTTTATATTTGAGTTACTTTCTTCACTGAGTTCTGCTATAGATGACTTCTTTTTCCTGAGTGCTTGTGCTTGCTCCAGATAATTCATTTTCATTAGGAAAACTGATCTGCTAGTCATTATTTAATTATGGAGTGTACTAATGAGGATGGCTGATAAGATTTGAGTTCTTGCAATATCACAGCCTCTTCTACTGGGCTCGTAACAATTAGCTAATCTAGTTTTCAAATGCTTGAGAGAGGCTTTTAGTCATCACTTCAGGTAATGCTCGCTTGAAAGTATTAGGGAACCTGTGACAGTCTTGAAAGGTTCCAAGTGCTCTCATTTACCAGAGAAATCGATGGTATTGAGATTCTCAGACACTCAGTGGAGTATATGACCCTCGGTACATAGCTTCCAGAAAGCGGCACACAGTGAAAAATCACGGATGCTATAAAAACACCATCTTTGTCGCTTGATGCAGAGGTTGTGTACTTGTTGAATGTGAAAAGGGCTCAGCCAAATCCCAAATATTATTGAAGTTAAAACAAAAGTGACCTTCTCTTAAACTATCCCTGAGCAAACCTCCTACCGAGCAAAATCACATGCTCAATTACTAAAAAATAAACATGTTTGAAACCCTTCATGTATCATTCCACAAACATAATTGCTTTTCCAGATTGTTTCTGTGTAGCCTAATAAATGATGAGAAAAGACCACAGAGACTTTTTAGCATGTCCAGTAGGTAGTTTAAGTGTGGCTAGTTTGACCTGTGTTGTTTAAAGAGTGACTTTTAGTAAGATGATGCATTTTAACTAGCCTTATTTTTAATTCAGTGCATTCTTGTACCTTTAAAAAAAGTCTCAGTAGATCCAGTGGGAGCTGACTTGGGAGCTGCAGGCTCTCTCTTTAGTGGATGTTTCAGAGTGGACTAGGATCGGGTGAAAAAGTAAACCAATTTGACATGAACCATGTGCATGCATTGAGATGGCTGTGATGCAAATAATCATCACTGTCGGCACTATCCATTTTTAAGAAAATCATTTTACATAATCCAGTTTGAAAAGGAATCAGGCTGAAGCTTACTAATTTTCTGCTGGGTCACGGAGCACTCGAAATTTTGTAAAATATTCTAGAAACACAGGGACACTCTTTGCTAAAGTCTGTCGGCACAGATCCACAGACATTATGCAAGTGGGGTAGCCTACCTGTAAGGGAAAAATGAGAATACAGATTTAACTTGGCTGTCATCAAGTGTTGTGAGACCTATTTAAAAACTTCATCTGTTCTCAGGTTATTTTCCTTTCATGCTGCTTTCAAATTTACCAAAGAAAAAAATGAATCCCTGTGGAATAGTTGTATATGATTCTTAGTTTCTGTCTTTAAATTTTTCTAGTGACTGTATTATGGATGATACTGTTTCAGAAAAGCAGTTGGCAGCTCACTGGAGATTTTATTTCTCCAGGAGTCACAACCTGGGCATTGGAAAATGCAGGCTGGTTGTTGAAAGTCATGGTCAATCTTACAAAAATTGTCTATAAAAACTGTACTGTTGGCATCTCAACAAGATTTAAGCTGATAAAATTACACTTTTCGGAAAATACTGGCTGAAATTTGGCTTAAAGCAGTCTTTGACCCCCAAACCATGAGAAGAATGTAGGAGTGGCCAAGGATGGTGTGATTTTCTGGGGTTTTTTTTTTTGAGTTCCTCAGCCAGCTCATCTTCTAAGGGAGGTACAGTCTAAGCTTGTATTTCTGTGCTTGTTTGTGTAATCAACAGAGGTTTTGCTTTCTCAGGATAAATGTCATTACATGACAACATTAATTGTGGTACAACAGAGAACATGAACTTTACGTTTTAAATTTAATGGTTAAAAGAAAAATACAGACCAGTGTAAATCATCATGAATTGACGGGTACAGGTTAGAATAGCATCACTGTAAGCTTTGCAGTAATTCAGACCATCTCCATTTGCTTCATGTTTATTACTAATTATAGCATTGCCCTAATAATATATTCATATTTGTATCCCAAACATTTATATACTTTTCCTTATGCTTTTTTATGGACTGGCCTCTTACTCAATCATCTCTAATGGCAGCTTTTGACCTGTGATACTGGTTTTAAGTAAATACATTACCTTGTAAATTAAGTGTGGATGAGCTCCATTCAGCTATTTTCTAACAAAAATTTCTCTTTGCCTAAAAAGACTTTATTTTAGGAAATGTCCATTTGCATCTGAAATTGTGCTGTTCTTTATCCATCTGTAGCTGAACAGATCGAGTTCTGGGAAAAATGAGGAAAAGAAAGGCAATAAGGGAAATGGCAAAGGTGAATCTGTTTCTGAAGGTGGAAAGACAGCTGTAGTGTTTTCCTTGAAGAATGAAGTTGGTGGATTGGTGAAAGCTCTCCGACTCTTCCAGGTAAAGCTTACAAATCATTACTCTGACTGGACTAAGGAAGGCTACTGAGGTCAGGTTGTTTGTTGGTATAAATCTAATGGACTGTGGCGGCAGGAATAGAGTGCAGTTACACTCTGCAGAATTGAAGAAAAGTAACTTAAAATTTTATGGACCATTCAGCAAAGCATTTGGGCTTGCGAGGGGTCTTCTGGAATAAAGTTTAACAGTGATGCTGATTTTCACACCGTTCGCTTTAGATTTCCGACATGTGATTCTCAACACTGTGAATTAGATTTGAAATTGTCTGCGCAGGCCACAATGAAAGGAGGCACTTTCAGAGAGCAGTTCAGAATATAAATTACATACAGTCAGGTGGTAGTGGCGGCTTTGCTGCAAGACGATGTTTGGTCATGAAGTTAAATGCACCTTTAAGTGCTTGCAGGGTCAGGGCTTTATGCGTGTAACTAGAACGTAAATTGTGAAGTATTGGTTCCCATATAGATCCCCATGCAATCGGTGGTTTTCGGTCAGACTGCTGGTACTGCACGTAGTCTGCTTGCCTTATTAGTAAACTAAAAAGGGCTTGGAGGCATGTCTGAGGATAGGTAAATTGAAGCAGTCTTAGGTTGTTCAGTCTGTGCAGTGCAGTGAAGAGAAAGTTAGGAGGTGGCTTGGGGTCTACTTCTAAGGCCAGACCATCAGAGGGGTGTAAGTGTGGGAGCACTGGGCATTACCGATCCTAACTCACAGGAGCTGGCTCTGGGAGCAGATTCCCAAAGCTGATGTAGATACCTAGATTTCCTAGCCAAGGAAAAGGGGGTGAGTTAGACCCCCATGAGGGAGGCTGCCAGGAACCAGGGTGTTTGACAGAAAGCTGATAGGAATTGCAGGAATCATGTTTTCAATGCAGCTTCTCTCCAAGGTTTGTCTAACTGCAGCTCTGGCTTAAATGCTTGAATGGGTTCATACCTGAAATCCTGGATTTACACATCAGCTCCCCCTTCCTGGAAGTGGACATGTAACTCACTCTGGTCTCTTAAAACGTGGCTGGAAGATGTTGCAGAGAGATCGCCCCCATTCATGGAGTCACTTAATGATTTGAATACCGTGAGAGAGAGTGCAGCGTTTTGCTCTCTTCTCAACCTAGGCTAGGTCAAAGCCAGTTGTCTGACTTTCCAAGAGAATGCTGAAAACTGGTAGCTCTGTGTCAGCTGAAGACACACAGGGGAGTCCTGTGGCCTGTGTTATTCAGGAGTAGATCATCAAAATGATCCTGCTTGGCTTTGTAATCTGCCAGTTTACAAACAGCAGATTCAAAGTCCTCAGCAGATGGAGGGTTTTCCTTCTGTGAATTTATTATGTGAATGGGTTAGCTAAGGAGATACACCATATACATACCTTATGGAGCATGCCAGTTAAAGAATTATGTATATCCAGAGATGTAAAAGCAGAGACTGCTGGTTGGCTGTACCAGAGGGGACCTTCACCCAAAACGGACATTTCTGCAAAATACAGCAGGCAGGTGGAAGTACAAGCACAGAGTTCTCCCCATTCGGAAGTCAAAAAATGTTTTATTGGCTTCACTGAGTAAGTGAAAGGATGGTTGTGAAAAGTAACAGATAGTTTGTGTCTGGCAAAAAAAGAAAAAAATCAGAGAGTCAATAAAAATACTGGTTGAAAGTAATCATCTAGTCCAACCTCCTGTTTTGAAGCAAGGCTATGACAACACTGGATCAGGTCAGCCATAACACATTGTGATTGTCTGTCATTGTACAACACCCTTGGCAGACCAGTAGTTGTGGTGGGAGAGATACCCTATAGGAAAATGTTAATACTAGAACTATTTACACACTCATGCGTTTAGTTTTGATGGGGACATTATAATAGAGAATAAATTGAATTAGATTTTAATTTTATTACTAATACCACTTCAGGTAGTTCATAATTGCTGCAAGAAAGATAGATGAGGACTGGTATACAGTTATCCTTAAAAAATATTTTCTCCCTCGTGTTCATGAGAGATGCTGAAGTAGTACACATTTAATAGCATCTAAGTAAACACACTCAAATCTAGTTAAATTAACAGTATTATTATGCACATTGCCTGACAGAATTGCATTTCATGTTTAACAAAGGTAAATATACAGTTGCATTACAATTTTTTTTCTTTTTAAAAATTATAAAGTAATATTGTCCTTCATAAAGATTGCCTTGATAGATACAATTAAATCATTAGTTAATTTCTTCATTAAATACAATAGTATTATTTTTACATTCAGTATCCAGATTTTTTTGTCTTTATTAAGCATCACTAACCAGTTATGTAGGTCCAAAGTGAGCACTTTCAATGAAAACACCTTTTAATAACTGGGAAAAACTTCCCTGAGGAACATGCCATCAGTATTCCCCTTCTAGCTGGTATGTCTGCATTTCTTATGCTATTTCATCTTTCCACAGGAGAAACATGTGAGTATGGTTCATATTGAATCACGGAAATCAAAGAGAAGGAACTCGGAGGTGGAAATTTTTGTGGACTGTGACTGCAGTAAGAAAGAATTTAATGAACTAATCCAGTTGCTCAAGTTTCAAACTAACATTGTATCTCTCAATCCACCAGAAAACATCTGGACTGATGAAGAAGGCAAGGCTGCTTTTGTATCACTTGGTTTAGACACTGACAAACGTTTTGCACAGGTATCTCCACAGTCTTACACTCCAGTACATTCAACTCACATTCTGTCTTCTGCAGATCTCGACTGTGTCCCTTGGTTCCCCAGGAAGATATCTGAATTAGACAAATGCTCACAGAGAGTTTTGATGTATGGATCTGAGCTGGATGCAGATCACCCTGTAAGTGTAACATAAAATTGTATTGTAGATAATTTGTTCAGGTTATTTGCCAGTCAAATAAAAGGCCTGTTGACTGCCTATTCTGGGTACTTTTTTGAGCATATGGTTTTCAGAAGATGGGGATTTAGTTTTCTTCAATGGTTTCAGTGAATTAATTTTCCTTTTCTGTAGTAGGACACCCAAAAAGGAGGTCCTCCTAACAACTTATTCACTCTTGAACGACTACGCCCCCTTTTGTACTGCTTTCATTTATTTATTTTTTTAATTAACTAGTTGATAGAAGCTTTCAGACTCTGAAGAGTTTAGATCAATGTGACCTTCAGTTCTGTCACAGCTCTTAGGTACGAATTGATATTAACCTAGGTGTCGGAGAAGAAAGAATTATGAAGGAGGACTTCCTTGGGCACTCAAGAGATAATTGCAAAATAAATCAGAGCAACATGTTCCTGTTTCTGCATGAATGCAGCAGATGGGAAGGTGTCTCTCATTGTTTCCTGACTTTGGTGACAGGAGACATTTCACACAAGCTGTATCTGCAGTAGTGCCAAATGCTCAGTGCAAAAGGCAAAAAAAAAGATTTATTATTGTTTTATTTCTTTTGGCTGATGTCCATAAATGCTTAACTTCTGGGTCTCCAGGTAGCAGATGATGGCAAGCATTTGTGTTACAACATTTTCACTTGTTATAAATCCAAGTTTCTACCTTTGGACACTTGGCTGAAAGATACCGGTGGTAGCTGGTTGTATTCATTCCTACTCCAAAGTAATATAGGCTGTATTAAACTGGTATTGTAGGAAACTTCCAGCTGAAAGGAGGTAGGTAATGAGCTAAGATATCTGACCACAGTCTTGTAACAGAATCAGATTAAACTGTGTAGATGCAGGTGATAGTCTCTTTTGGTTTTTGTCACACACATTTTTGTTGGTATTGTCCAAGGTGATGAAAGACGGCCCCAAAGAGATTGTAAGTGACAGCAGAAAGATCAGTTCAGCGTAGGGGACTCTCTAGTGATGCATCTGTGCTACAGCATGGTACTACAGTGCCTGCGCGGACTCCTCCCTGGTGACCGCCTTGGCTGAGGAGAGGCAGGTCCTCCTGGTGGCCCTGGGTTTGGGGCTCTATGTCAGCACAGGAACGGCACTCAGACTGCTGCCTTCCGTCCTGTTTGCTCCACAGCTCCTACAGCTGCCGTGCCGTGGTGGGGGTTCAGGCACAGACCCTCATGCCTGCATGTACAAGCAAAGAGACATCATCATGATGTCCCCTGGCAGCCCCACTTCCCTGTTTCTGGTGTCACCTGCCTGTGTATCAGCCACGATAAGCATCATCACCTTGCTGGGTTTTCAGCCATCTCTACTGCGCATGGGCCTTTCCCACGCTGTGGGCCCACAGTTGGGGAGCGTATTCCTGGATCTTGTTTTCTGCCATGTACTTCTTGATGACAAACGAGGATTTACCTAGCATTTTCTCAGAATGGAAGAGTCTGTTGATGACCTGCAACCATTAACAGTAATTTGGTTCAAACAGAGAAGAGACGGTAATGGCAGCTCATTCTAGCCTTGAGTCGATGACTGTGACGAGCCATTTGATACTGTTTTATGTTCTGAGCTGGTGCCTTCATTAAATACTTGAGTGCTCTGCTGAAAATCTGCCTTCAGTTTTACAGACAATGAAAAAAGACATTTACATTATATGAATATATATTTTACACTTGGGGGAACTCTTATAAACATAATTTACACACCATTTGTTAGCCTATGCAGCATGCTAGGTATTAGAGATGGGGGAAAAAACTGTAAAACCTGTGACTGGGCTTTCCGAGGCCAATTCTGGTGCCTGCCCTGTTCCTCAGTGGTGGCGTGTAGGTGCCAGAGGACCAAAGAGAATTATCCTATTACAGAACCAGCATAGCACCGCTTCAGCAGCATAGCCCTAACCCACTCCATACTGGCTAACAGTTTCAGTCTCAGTTTCACTACACATGACAGGCTTTTAAATCCCCTGTGCTGTCTTCCATCGCTTTTCAGCTCTTGAATGGTCTGCAGCTGAGTAACTCAATGCTTACGTCAAAAACATGAAGCAGACAAGGAGGCACCCCCAGATTATAGCAACTTTTTGCCAGTCGAAAAGCTTTTCTGTGTGGGAGTGGAGGCTTGAAGGTTTTCTGCAGTCCTTTGACATCCTCCTTTACTTTGCCCCAGCAGCGCAGCTTTGGTTATGGGGCAGTAAAATGCCTTCTGAGTTTTCTGGAAGCATGTACAAATATTTCAAATCAAACGACTTTATCTTTTCATTCCTTTCAGTGATTTGCATTTATGTATGTGAGCAGTAAGGAAAAAATGCATTTTTCAGCTGGCTAGGGGGAAATGCAAATGCACTTTCTGGGCTACTAACTGGGGAACTTAGATAACTCTTTATCCTATTCCATGTTCAAGAGGTTGGGAATTCTGCCTTGAAAACAGGTAACTCTTTTTGTAGTCCAAAACCTGAAGTATCTACATCTTTTATAGCTATAGAAGAGATCTTGTTCTAGTTTTAAGCAGCTCAAAGGGCTGTAACTGGCTGGTGTGTATGTGTTATATAGTTCTGTTGCTCTTAATATGGAGAAGGTATGAACCCACTGTAGCCCACAAGGTAGAGCCCTTCCTCTGTAACTCAAATTGGAGCAATATGCGTATTTGCTGCCGGAGGCTGATGGTTCAGTCCCTAATGTGTTGGTTAAGATGGCCACTGCTGAAGTAGTATCTTCAAAATGAGTTGTGTATGAACTCTGGGTGCTTGGTTCTTCTAGTAAAGAAAGATGTATTAAGGATAGGTAAATTATTCTGCTTTGTGCCTGTGTGTAGGTCTCCATTCAGATTAAGAAAAACCTGAGTGAGACGATATGACAAGGAAAAAGTTTCTCTTTTTCAGCATCTTGGATGAATGACTGTACCTATGCACAAACCTGTCTTGAAAAAACTCCTGTGGGACTTTGGTGGGGAAAAAAGTGAAGAAAACCTTATCTTCTCTTGCAGTCCAGTAGACAGTGTTAATCAAAATACAATATAATTGGGTACTAAATAAACACTTTAGTGATTTATTTTATAATTCTTACAGCTAATTTTCTGTCCTTATTGTAAATTACTCTCTTCTTCCTTGCTTAAGGGATTTAAAGACAATGTATATCGACAGAGAAGAAAGTACTTTGTGGATGTTGCCATGAGCTATAAATAGTAAGTACTGGCATAATTCTTTCCTGTGCTGCTGACTAGTTAGAATTCATGCTCTACTTAATTCTGTAGGATGAAGTTTAACGGTAGAAAAAAATAATCCTTTAAACTTTGACTAGTTTAGTGTAGGCTATAAATGACAAACCTGATGCTTGAAATCCCATTACATTTTCGGTACAGATACAGGCAAGTAAAGCATTTAAAGGTAAGCACTATCTTTTCAGCATTTTATTCATAGCTGCTTAAACTTAAGAAACTCTTACAAATGCTTGTATGTCTTAACAACAAACTAATGCGCTGCTGAATCGCACATATCTAGCAACCCTACGTAGTTGGATGAGCTCACTAAAACCTGAAATTATTATTTTCTTTTCATGTGCTTACTATACTGGATGCTACAAAATGTCTTTTATCAATTTTGCCAACACAGCTCTAAACTTCTCAGAATTCAGCCAGTGGATTTCTCTGTAGTTAGTGGAACTGGTGCTTGTGCACAAATACACTGCATGTGTTTTCTCATTTTGATTTTTTTTTTTTAACATGTCAAGTCAGTATTTTCAATTTGCTACTGTCCCTGGCAGGCAGAAAACTTCCTGTGCTACCTACAAATACCTACTGTATTGCAATTTTCTTGTCACAAGCATTCAACTAATTCTAATCATACTCTAGGTTTTATTTGCAACAGTCCTAAGCCCTCATTCTCAAGGGAAAGAACATACTAATTTCATGTTCTTTTCCATTTTACTACACTTCTTCAGGTTTTTCATTTTTCTTCTTTGAGATTTCTACTTACGTTGTTGAAAGAATATAAAACACAACAATTTTTTCTCCCTTCATAGAAGGCACATCCTGTCAGGAAACAGTTAAAAATGGATTTTTGTAGGTTTTCCAGTTCTGGGTTTTTTTTGTTTTAACATAAGCCTAATATACAGACTGCAGAAGGCTGGGGGGACAGGAGGGTTAACTCTGCTTTGTGACCATGTAATCCTGATTATATTTCTCCTTTACTTTTGTCCCATTCCTGTCATCAAGCTATTACCAATCTAATAAATGTGTAAGTGCTAGTGTTGGTTCCCCTTATTTCTGCCCATGGTGGCATTTGTTTAGCTGGGTGCTCATGACATTCATCCAGCACACTGAGCTGCTGCCTGCTGGGGGCAGGGTGCTGGTTGGTGGAGAAGCTTCCTAGGCTGACCAGGTAAGTCCTAAGTTTAAACAGTTTTGTGAGGGTTTGGTTTTTTTGTTTGTTTGTTTGTTTACAGCTGATTGATTGATTATCTTTTCAGTCTAATGCTTGCTGTAGAGTTAGTTCTTCTTGCCTAGCATTTATTGCAGTGTGAAATGTCAAGCAGGTACCTGTGGATGAGGGCAGTCTGTGCTCCTAGAGCTCTTTCAGTAATCTCAGATAGTTCTCCATTTACCCATGATGGTAACAGTAGTGCCATGCATTTCCCAGCTGCTAAGTTGCTGGAAATACCTTCCTCCCTTCTCCCTCTCAGCTGCCTAAATGCTGGAAAGATCATGCTTCTGGCCCACTAAGCAGTGGTCAGTCTTCTGCTACAAAGTTTTATTTTTTTCCCTGAAACCAGTGAGAAATGTCTTTTCACAAAAATCATGTAAAGTAATCCTGCATATTCCCAGAAAAACAGATAAAGGAAAGGAAACATCTTTTCCTTCTTTAGATTTTGAAGGCTCGAGAACTGTTTCTGCAGGCACATTACAAAAATCAAACAACCCAAACCAGAGGTTATTTGATGACCAGATCTTGTACTTCAGCAAAGCCGCTCAGAAGTACTCCTTCATCCCACTGATCTTTAAAACCTTAAAAAGTTTTCAAACTCTTCCTATTGTCAGCAGAGGGAAAACAAGATGCTTCATGTATTTTTAGTTGGGACCACAAAATAGCTGGGAGGCCAGTGATTAGGGCAGTTACCTAAGATGTGGCAAAATCTCATTCATGCTCCTCAGGTCTGCTGCAGTGGTTATCTTAACACCAGGGATGTGCCATATCTACTGGGCTGTACAGTCAGTCTGTCTCTGGGTATGCCTGTAGAGACAGCCCAGGCAGACATTTACCCTCAGCATCCCTGCAGCTCAGCCTAAGCCACGCTGAGGACAGGCAAATCAGCTCAGGGAGGACTCCACGCTGCTACAGCTAAGCTGTTTCTGCTGCCTGTGCTGGGGAGCTCAGAATTAATATAGGTGTGTCGACACTATGTTGCAGTCTCATCACACTCTCTTGTATGGTCTAATGACTATTTACTTATTTATACAAAAAGAACAGCTCTGTTGTAAGGACTGCTTCCCTCAGGAATAAATTCAGAGCATTGTCTTGAACCTCTCAGTGTCTTCCAGGTAAGTGACCTTCCTAATTAATCATTTACTGAGGCTTGATGCATTTCTACTTTTCATTTTTCCAGTGTAAAAAAAAAAAAAAAACCCACACTTGTTTCCTTAAAAAAATAACAAAGAAATTCGGCTGCAAGGAATTGGCTCTGTAAAAAAATTGTTGAGTTGAAAATCCCAGATCAGCATTTCCTTTATGGATTGCTACTGTTCTGTAGTGGTAGATGTTCTGCATTGCTTGAACATAAAGAGGCCTCTGTAGTGGAGAGAGAGAAAAACACTAAGAAGTGAACTTGGAGGAGCAGATATTTGCTGGTGCTGGGTGTTAAAGGGGAAGACATGTTAATAGAGCACAGCAGTGAAAATCAGCTGTATGGAATAAAAAAAAAAATTCCTCCCTCATTCACTTAGGTTCTATTCTAAAGATAGTGAAAAAGTGTTAATCTTGCTAATTAGTCCTTTGAGACTGATCAGGGATTGCAAAAGTGTTGAGAAAATTAAATCTGGAGGAAAAATACAAGGTTTAAGAGGGAATTCGTAACATGAGTTGACAGCTCATGACCATGGCAAAATGGAAAGACCCTATTTTAATAAAGGGAAATAAAAAATCAGTATAGGTTAGTTTGTATAGTCATCTTACTCAGCCACAAGAAAACTGTCTATGCAGGCTGGCCATTCCTGTGATTTATGGAAAGGTTTGAGTGGAAGGTGGGTCTTGCTTGTTGAAGTAAGAGGGTGAGAAAAATGAGATTTGCAGAGCTGAGTGAGAAAGGCATAGGTCTTCCCTCAAGTCTGGCTGCCTTGATCCTCTTGATAAAGAAAGCAGTATCATGATCAGCTGGAAATAAGATCAGCTCTCCTAGGCATAAATCCAATTAAGGAATTAATGTTCAGTGAACCTTACTTCAGTACTAATGAATTAATTGAAACAATAACTAAGTTATAAACCTTTTAGTGAGCAGTGAACAAGCTTCAGATCCTTGATTGTGTTTATACCTCTCTAGTGATAGGCTAAATAGAAACCTTTGTGGTGAACGGAGTTAAATTCAGTTGGCGACCGGTCACGAGTGGTGTTCCCCAGGGCTCAGTTTTGTGGCCAGTCTTGTTTAATGTCTTTATCAATGATTGGGATGAGGGGATTGAGTGTGCCCTCAGTAAGTTTGCAGATGACACCAAATTGGGCAGCAATGTCGATCTGCTTGAGGGTAGGATGGCCCTACAGAGGGATCTGGACAGGCTGGATCGATGGGCTGAGGCCAACTGTATGAGATTCAACAAGGCCAAGTGCCGGGTCCTGCACTTGGGTCACAACAGCCCCATGCAACACTACAGGCTTGGGGAAGAGTGGCTGGAAAGCTGCCTGGCCGAAAAGGACCTGAGGGCGTTGGTAGACAGCCGGCTGAACATGAGCCAGCAGTGTGCCCAGGTGGCCAAGAAGGCCAACAGCATCCTGGCTTGTGTCAGGAATAGTGTGGCCAGCAGGAGCAGGGAAGTGATTGTTCCCTTGTACTCGGCATTGGTGAGGCCATACCTGGAATACTGTGTTCAGTTTTGGGCCCCTCAATACAAGAAGGGCATTGAGTTGCTGGAGCATGTCCAGAGAAGGTCAACGAAGCTGGTGAAGGCTCTGGAGCACAGGCCTTATGAGGAGCGGCTGAGGGAACTGGGGTTGTTTAGTCTGGAGAAAGGAGGCTGAGGGGAGACCTTATCGCTCTCTACAACTACCTGAAAGGAGGTTGTAGTGAGGTGGGTGTTGGTCTGATCTCCCAAGTAGCTAGCGATAGGACGAGAGGAAATGGGCTCAAGCTGTGCCACGGGAGGTTTAGATGGGATATTAGGAAAATTTTCTTCACAGAAAGGGTAGTCAAGCATTGGAAGAGGCTGCCCAGAGAGGTGGTGGAGTCCCCATCCCTGGAAGCGTTCAAGAAATGTGTAGATGTGGCACTTGGGGACATGGTTTAGTAGTCATGGTGGTGTTGGGTTGACAGTTAGACTGATGATTTTAGAGGTCCTTTCCAACCTTAATGATTCCTAGTTTTTACTTTCATTAAAAAAATAATCCATCCACCAAGCCAGGAAACATGAAATGAATTATACTCTAGCCTTAATTGGTTTAGTGATGGACTTGGTAGAGTTAGGTTAATGGTTGGACTGGATGATCTTAAAGGTCTTTTCCAACCTAAACAATTCTATGATTCTATGATTCTGAGTTTTTCCACTGGTGCACAGATTTCTTCAGCTTTGCTGGGCCAGTGCTGACCCGTACTGGCAGTATCTGTAGTAGAGGTCAGGTCTAAGGAAGAAGGAGGAGGCTACTGCACAGTATTCTGGCAACCCCAGGTGGATGGAGTAGCAACCTGCTTGTATCTGTCATGTATGGTACAATTTAGAATAGCTGTGTTAAGCTTTCTGCGAGCTGGCAGGCAGCTTAAGGCTGATAAAGTGTAAAGGTAAAGACAGATACTAGACCTGAAGGACTGGCTCCCACTGCAGAATGAGCACGAATCCAGTGCAGCTTCTGTTGATGAGAAATGCTTCACTAAATGTGTTGCAATTCTTGTCATGTCTGCAAAAGAGTAGCTGAAGGGGAACTAGCGGATGTATTGGATGTTCAGTGAGTCCTTAACAAGTATGAGTACCTCATATAAAGTGGCCTTTGGCTGACAGATAACTGCCATGGATCAAAATACTTTGATACAGTGAAAGGCAAGGTGATTAAATACTAATTTTTCAATAAAGATGAGGGGACAACCACAATGCATGTAGGGTGGATGCTCTTCTCTTGTGCATGTAGGGACTGCATAGCAGCAATCACATGTGACACGAGGGCTCATTCCTTGTTACCTCATATGGTGAAGGCAGCACTATGAACCCGGCGACAGCCAAGATGGAGAGCCAACGCCCAGCAAAAGCGCAGCGCTGCAATTCTGCTGCAGTAAGATTCCTTGTGCCCGATACGCCTGTTCAGCTGCTGCCTGCGACGCTGGGGAAGCTGCGGCACTGGGCTGGGAGTGCCCACCTTGCCAGCCCTGTGGCATGGGAGTGGGAGATAAGGACTGATGGGGTGGAAGGGGATCCTGTGAATCCCTTTGCCAATCTATACTTCGTTACAGTGTGGGAAACGAGGATACGTGAGGAGAAGGCAGACTGCACAGATTACACACTATAGATTGTGAACATTAAATCCAGAGAAAGATTATAAAGTTTCTAGGGGGAATTCATAACGTGAGGTGATAGCCCATGACCGTGGCATGGGAAGTTTCTTACAGCTAAATACAAGGCAGTGCAAACTGGAAGGAGCCCTTCATAATCTTCACACTGTCAGTCAGTTTTGAATTAGGCGTAACCACTCAAGGGAAATCTTGGATGTCAGAAACAGATCAGCAGTACCCTGGGAAGGCTCCTGCTTTGCAATTTCTGTGCATTTGTGTGAGGGGGAGGAGGCCGAGGAATGGTGCAGAAAGAAAAAAGGGAGATGTATTTAGAAGCTTAGTTTCACCTATGCTAGGCTCTTGGCTCTGAGGTGAGCTTCCTCATGATGTAGTCCTGCATGGATTTGGGGTTCCAAGCATATCTGCACATGTAAGCAACAGTCTAAACAATAAATATATATATTTGAATTGGATCCACACATTTCTAAAAATCTGTGTCATTGTCTGATCTTCACTTTGTAAAATGCTAGGTAATGATGCTGTGTGAATATTATATATTTTAAACAATGCGTAGAGCATGTGGTCTGCTGATGGTCTTACTGAATCTGCAAGTAGACTGAATCAGGATCTTCAGCTAACCACTTGCAAAGGCATCAGTGGCAATAAATGGAGAAATATTACTCTGGTATAGGAACATGGCATGCTGGAGTGCATCCAAAGAAGGGCAATGAAGGTGGTGAAGGGTCTAGCGCACAAGTCTTATGAGGAGCAGCTGAGGGAACTGGGGTTGTTTAGTCTGGAGAAAAGGAGGCTCAGGGGAGACCTTACCACTCTCTACAACTACCTGAAAGGTGGGTGTTGGTCTCTTTTCCAAAGCAGCAGGTGATAGGATGAGAGGAAACGGCCTCAAGTTGCGCCAGGGGAGGTTTAGAATGGATATTAGGAAAAATTTCTTCACCAAAAGGGTTGTTGAGCATTGGAACAGGCTGCCCAGGGATGTGGTTGAGTCCCCATCCCTGAAGGTATTTAAAAGACATGTAGATGTGGTGCTTAGGGACATGGTTTAGTGGTGGAGTTGGCAGTGTTAGGTTTATGGTTGGACTCAATGATCTTAAAGGTCTTTTAAACCTAAATGATTCTATGGCATATAAGAAATCCATCTTTCTACTATGATATGTACAAAGTTTAAGAAATCATCTCATTGCTTAATAAGAAATACAGTTCTTAAGAAATAAATGTAATATGTACAATGTAACATCAAGAAGAAAGTCTAAGAAAAAAAAGCATCTAGTTGTCATTTTAAAACATTTTTTTATAGTTTTAATAGGCTCTGTCTGCCTTTATTTATTTAAATAAGACTTTTCACAGAAGTTTTGCCATCCAGAGTCTGTCTTGAATCTGGTTGTATTCAAATGTATTTTGTATTATTTTATTTTTCACAGTGGTCAACCCATTCCCAGAGTGGAGTACACAGCTGAAGAAATTAAAACATGGGGTGTGGTATTTAGGGAACTCAGTAAACTCTATCCTACCCATGCTTGTCGTGAATATTTAAAAAACTTCCCTCTGCTGACCAAGTACTGTGGATATAGAGAGGATAATGTGCCTCAGCTGGAAGATGTTTCTATTTTTCTTAAAGGTGGGATTCATATTTGGTTTGTCAATAAATACAGTTTCATGAAAACACTCTTTTCTGTTAGTACAAAATACAAAGCACATTGAATGAAAAGACTCCCAGCTTTGTCAGTGGACTTTGGTTTAGTCTGAAGTATTATTCTGTTTTTGACATTCTCCATGGCTGAGAGTTTGTTGAGTCAAGACAGTTGTATATATGTATCTGCAAGTATGAAGCTGAGAGGAATTAAACAGCTGAACACCTATCATGAGACGTTATCTTGCACAGGCAGAAAAGTCCTTCAGCACAACAAAAAGAAAGAGCAGTTAGCTCTGCTCTTTTCATTGCCACAGGGTGGCTGTTCTGATAACCACAGTGGGCATCCCGCAAATATCCAGGCAGGTAAAAGAGGGAATAAAATGCCAAGACAACTGAATTTAAAGAGGAGAGCAGGTGTGGCACATTGTTGTACAGCCTGATGAATATGTGGCTTTCCTGAGTGCCCAAGACCTCATGAAGCTAGTCATTATATTTGTATGTTGAAAAAACTCAGTGGGACTCCATAGGTAATCTGGTACTTCGGTTTCATGTTATTTTTTAAGGGGTCAGGATATTACATATTTAAGTTTGAAAATACCCTTCTTTTTAACCTGTAATGGAAATGTATCCCATACGGAAGGAGGAGTGGCAGACGTGAACCTGCAGTTTTTAACTCTAGAGGAAAAGCTGCCAAAGAGTTCAGTTAAGATTTTCTCTTCTCCTCAGGGGTCCTTTCAGATACATATACTTGTTCCTTAATCCTCCTGCTCAGGAGCTTCTGGAGGTCAGGAACTAAAATGTTATAAAGACAGCTGTTTAGAAAAAATGTTATGTGCTGTTAAGTATTATGAGAAAAAATAGCAATGTGTTTTGTCCCAAATGTGCATGGAAAATTTTTTAACTAAGAGAAATACAAAATTTGTAATGAAAAGCTTACTTTTCCCAGTCCCTGCTTCATCTGTAACTCGTTTGTGAAACACCTGCATTTACTAATAACTGACTCATCACTCTGAATTTGGTTGTGTCCTTCTGGGTCTCTCATCTGTTATGGTCTCTAAGGATTGATGCCAAAGTGTAGAGGTTCTTTCTCCCTAACTAGAAACTCAAAACTTCACACTTCTTTCAGAAATATGTTTTCAGACTACACACAGCAATGGTAGAGTCTGTTGAAAAAAAACTTGGAACATTCTCCTGTAAACACTTGGAAAGAGTAAAGAATGAATTTGGGAGAGAAATGTCGTTTTCGAAGTCACTGAGTCTGAAATAATTCCCCACTGGGGCTAATCTGACAAAGGAACACTTTGTTAAATAAGGACCTCAACGGTGAAAGTCGGTGTTTTACTGTCACAAATGGTATTTTCTCTGTAAAAATAAGGACAGATTTGATTTAATGCTATTCTGTTCTGTTAGTTTTTAATGTATTTTATGGAAGTCATCTTCTGTTTTAGAAACTTCTCTCCTGTTTGGTACTAGACATGAAAATCAGGTACTTGGTGATTTGAGAACATCACTTATGGCACCTTACCATCTTTTCTAGGCAAAGGTATTAAAATAAACTTTGAAATACCTTAAGCTGTTTTCATTAAACATATGCTAGCAATGCAAAAGAGTTCTTGTACGTAATAGGTGAAAATGATGTGTGGTGATCTTCAACCAAGCTACTCTCTGTGTCATGCTTCTAGTAGAATAATTAACTATAGATCATTATCTGTCCTCAGAAATGGATATAGGGATATGTAATATGGTCTTCTATTATCTCCTTTACTTTCAGAAAGGTCTGGCTTCACAGTGAGACCAGTTGCTGGATACCTATCTCCCCGAGATTTTTTAGCTGGCTTAGCCTATCGAGTTTTTCACTGTACTCAGTACATACGACATGGCTCAGATCCTCTCTACACACCAGAACCGTAAGTTGCTACATGTACTTTAGTGCTGAAAAAGTATGATCACTGGATTGTTAAAAGACCCAATTGAATTTGCCAAGATCGAAAAGAGGAACCTTCCCACAAAGTTAAAAATCTAGTTACACCATTGATGACAAAACCCTTCACATTAGTAAGCCAGAATTTAATTTAAAGGCTTCTTTTGGACTTTTTACTTTTCTTAAATAACTAGGCTATTTATATGGTGGGTCAAAAAATTCTATCTGTCTATCTGGGTTATTTTTCAGTGGAAAATGGAGTTTTCAACTAAATATTTTGAAAAAGTTATCAAAAATTTTATTTTCTGGTGGACAACTAAGGAAAGAAGCTGGGAAAAAAGCCCTGAATCCCTTGAAAAAAAATTGCTTTCAGAATTATAATTTGGTCTTCTTATGTCCTCATTTATCTTTTTTGGGCTAGACTCCACAGCTGAACTTCATTTCTCTCCTATAACACAATGCAAAAAAGTCACGAGGCACTGTTCTCTTCCCCCAGAGAGGACGTTAGATACGAAGCCGGTTACAGGGAACATGATAGAAATAAGAGACGCTTTAATTATGACTTTCACGGGACAGCATTACAGCTTTTCCAAAACAGAATATTGCGAGTTTGGATGAAATATTTTGGCATTTGGTCTCTTGATGAAAAGTGGGGGGAAAAAAGATCGAAGCGATTGTAGTTCTTGTCTTCTATTATATATGGTGTGCTCTGTGCAGTAGTAACAGAACAATACATGTCAGTTAGATAATATGGAGGTAGTTTCACCAAAGGCATCCACTGATCCTGTAACCACAGGAATGACTTTTTTGCAGTGCATCAGTCATCAGGTGGTTAGCATGAAATTGTAACTGTTGTTTATTCAGCTTGTACTATTTTGGTGTATTTTATTTTTGCCAAAATTTACACAAAGGGTTCACATATATATATTCGGCTCCAGTCCTGTAAACACTTGGACCCATGCCTAACTTTGATTTCATGAATAGACTGCTGAAACCATGGAATAATATTTTTGGATATGAAAGGATTAATGGCACCACGGATTAAGCTGTCCTAAAAATGCTCTAACATTATTCTGGCAGGAGTCACCAGGTGGTGCTGTTACACACATATCTACTTCCTCTTTTCCTTAGCATGTGAACTGGGCAAAGTATTTGCTAAAATGCTATGAGGCTAGTTTTGTGTGCATGTTTTTATTGGTAAAGAGGTGGTAATCTCTGAAGGAATTCACTCACTTTTGTAAGCTCTGTAATTAGAACTTTAATCTCTTAAATTTGTAGGCAGATTGCTACAATGTAGAATCCTGAAAGAAGGGCTTGAAAATACGATGCTGGACTTCTGGTCTGTCTGAAAATATCTGTAGATATTTCAAAAAAAAGAAATTATACTTAGGAAGTACCAGGTTTTGCACCAAAGATTTCCAGTCCTGTGGGAAGTCTCAGACTGCTGCACCTGCCAATGCTCAGTGAAAGAATAATGACATTTATTAACTTAATACAAACTAGGGGAACATTTTCATCTGTTGATAGGGGATTTGGGTACATAACTCCAACAGGAACAAAGGAAGGAACATCTTCCAGGAAACAATTCAGTGCATCTATGGTTTTGCTGATGTTCTCTGGTTTGTTGCTTTGTATATTTGAGACCCTTGTAGTTTTCAGGATGCTGCTTACATTCAGAATTACTCAGTGTATCATAGCTGATCCTTAGTACTAATGGCAACTACTTTTTTGTAACCTTTCTGGTCATGGTGTCTGGAAAGTCACTAAGTAGTAATACTAGTTCAATTAGAATGAAGATTGTTATCCCTCATTTGGGCTGAACTTAAAAATCCAGGTTATGGTTTTAACAGCTCTAAATATGACTAACAGGGGAGTTCGGTTGTCATTTTCTAATGATGCTACTCTATTCCTGCAGACCTACTTGTTCAGAAACCACATGAATTAAATAATTTGTACTATCAGGAACTCCATAGGAAAATTTTGAAAATCCTTTTTAAAATGTGTTTAAAAGTTTTCATTAGGTAGAGCATTTAGTAAGTGTTATCAGAAGTGTAGAGTGAAATCTTGCCTTTTTTGTAATCATCAAAACTAAACTAACTTGAGTGGGGACAGCTCTTCATCTTCTGCAGTAGCTGCAATGCCCTGAGATCTGCTGGTTGATATATGGGGCCATAATGAGGTTTGCTGCGGGTCCCTGGCTTGCTGAATGTTACATTTTCAATGATATAAACCTGGTAAAAAGACTCACTTTGACTTCAGTGGGCTTTCCATCAGATTTAACACCCAGGCTATAGAGCTAGATACAAATTAGAGAGTTCATTTGGTTTGATCTGTATCACTACTATATGCATTTTAAAACATTTCTTCCCGAGTTTCATTATGTGTCTACTACATTCACAGAGCTATATAGATTTCCTCTGCTCTGCTAAGTAATTTACTCCAAGAAAAATCTTTTGCTGTGAAAAGTGCATTACAAAAATCTTATTTTCTTTGAGCAATGTGTGTGAATAAATTAAAGGAACTTAATTATTTTCTGAATAAAACAAAACAAAAGAATCAAGCCTTGGTAGTTAAGCAAAGAATTATATTGTTTAGTCTATCTATAAAGGGCCAGACTGACAGGGAAATCTAAGAGACTCCAATGACAATCCCAAAAGCTGGTTCATGGTTCTGCTTGGAAGATTTGATTTTTTTTTTTTTTCTTTTTTGTTCATATGTTTTTGTTTCAAGCTCCTCTCTTTATAACTGCACGTTCAAAATACTACTTTGCATAGTTTTAATGGAAGAATCTGAAAGGTAAAGGAATGAGAGAAATATCTTCTGCCTCCTCATCCTCTTCCTCCTCTTGCCAGGAGAGACAAGTTAATGGGGCTAGGCTTTGTCCTCGTTTTGTCTGCAAGGATGGAAGTGACACAAAGAGCCTGTGTCCCGGTGCAGCAATACAAATAACACTTCTTCACGTATTTGTTTCTGGGAGTTTTTACCTCAGCACAGGAAAATAGAGATGTAGACACTCACTCATCTACTAATAGTGGTGATGCTGCTGTAGCAGCCTGCCTGGAGACAAGCGCACTTACTTGAAGCCAGTCCCACTATAACTTCTTTGCTCTTGTTATTTGAACTACTGATATGAAGTTACCTTAAATATATCTGGACTGATGCAGTGCAGCATAGGTGAAGTGCTCAGCAATCAGTGTTGATTTCTCCAGTGAAGATGGAAAGTGGAGTTAGAGCTCTGGACTTCCAGAGAATGGGCTTTGTGGCCCGTTTCTGTGTTGGAAGGTGATGGTTAGAGGAGTTGGGTTCCTCCAGAGAATTGTTTGGTACTGGGAATTCTCTGGGTGTATCTGTCAGACTGCAAACTCCATTTCCCTGCTGTCCTTCGTATTGTTAGCAAGCTAAACCTTTTAGGAGATGACAGAAGAAATTGTTGTGACTGGAACGGAATAAATAAGGAAGGGTCGTTAACCTTTGATTATACACTGAAGTGATTCAAACCATCTCCTGAACAAAGAGATGGATACCATGCAGAGCTAGCCAATTTTTCAAGTCTGAGCTCCAGTGGGGAATGGAGTAGTATCTAAGCTATGGGTCTTGTGGTAGGGAACTTTGATCATCTTGCAAGACAGAGCGTCACCAAAGGGGATTGGAGATCATAAAAGGAAAGCCTTCTTACCGGCTGCTTTGGAAGAAATTGGGAATTTCCCAGGCTCCGAAAGGACATGCAATGATGTAGAAACAAGGGAGGAAAGATCTGACTTTCATGAGGAAGGACAAGCTTTACCAGGCAGTGGAAAACAAAAGCAAACAATTTTATTTATGTAAGTATGATGTCTGATACTGTTGTTAGCCAGCTGTATCTATCAAACATACTTCGATGTTGACTAAAAATACTGGCGCACAGTAAACTTGAGCACTCAGCCTGTATTGCTACAAATGAATCTCTAGTCAATGTCCATGGACCATGTTCGTTTTATCATGTCAGGCACAAGAGTATCTGTTTACCTTCCCTGCTTCTTTGGGAAATATGTATGTCTAGGAAGGAAGAGAAATGAGATTTGGTAATTCCTCTGTACGGTTGAGTGAATTACTCATATATGAGTTTGGCTCAAACTTGTCATGCATAACTTCAGAGCAGTGCTTGTCTCACCAAAAAGTGTGAATATAACATGAGCAAATGTTGGTAAGCATCTGTCAGAGAGGCCATCTGGGCTGAGAAGAGAGGCTTGTATGTAACCCTTCAATATTGGAACTATATTTAATACGCTTTTGGTGAGGCAAACTAGGAATGCCAAAAATGCTAATCTTCATTTGCATGCATTCAGAAACCATAACTATCTACGTAGACACAGTTGGCACGGTCTTCTTGGTGAAGAGTACTGAGTAAGGAGACTTTAAATTATATAGAGGGTTGTTTTTCTGTTCATGATTTATCTGAAGTGTCAGGTTCTGTGTCTTTTCAAACAAAAATAGTTTATAAAAGACAAATTGGATGATTTTGGATAGAAGGCAGAAAACTTGATGTTTTCTCCCTGCCTTTAAAACATTTGTTCACAGCTTAGCAAAAAAAAAAAAAAAGCGAGAAATGTCTTTGAAGAGACAAAAGCAAAGGAAATGTCAGATCTGATTTTTAAAGTGAACTTTACTACCAAGTCCATTATTATCTGTGAACAAATGCACAAAAACTTTCAGAATTGTTTGAGAGCTTTTGTAGATGATGCATGTGCACTTTCGTTAGGTTGGCTTGCAGTTTTTTGTACACTTATATCTGCACTTTGTCGTGACTAATAATACACTTACAGGTGCGGACAGTAGTTCTTTCTAAAATGATTCGAGTTCTCTGCTTTTTCTGAAATCTGCTTAGTGAAAAGTGGACCATGTAACAAAAGTACCCAGTAATTGCAGTAGGAGGTCAGAACTAAATGAGAAATTAAGCACACAGAAACCTCTGTAAATATTGCCCTGAATTTCTAGTGGCACGTGGCAAAATGTTTGGTTGTGGAGCTGTACCCAGGTGCGGAAAGGGGAATGGAGAAGAGGAAGAAGGAATGTGTTGGATTTTGAACTTGATTCATGTGGAGAGAAATGCTGAAAACTACTTGTGAGACATCTGGCTTTCCTTTGGGCAGTTCAGTCTTCATGATACTAAGCCTGGAAGAAAGCAGTGATCAGGCCCTCCCACTCAATCTGGAAATGATGGGGAAGTCATGGAACAGGTGGGGTTAAATGACATATAACGCATTTAATAGAAGCAAACCTGTATGTTTCTACAGAACCATACACAGGGAAGAACAACTATTCTGTAAAAGCATGTTTCATGGTAAAACTTTTGAAGTAGAGGTCAGATCTGTGTAAAATGGCCTATGTTAAATTACTTATGGCATGATTATGGAATTAATTTCTGTAATGACTCTGTTTTCATTTCCATTCCCTTAGGGATACGTGCCATGAACTGTTGGGACATGTGCCTCTACTTGCTGATCCCAAGTTTGCACAGTTTTCACAAGAGATAGGACTTGCTTCACTGGGAGCATCTGATGAAGATGTTCAGAAATTAGCCACTGTGAGTCAAAATCTTTTTGTGGCATGCTCTCTCATCTGTCCTCCTCTTTGGTTGATGAAGTGACGTGCATTGTCTTATTAGAGCTGACTGCATTTTCAGGTTGCAGATGACTATGATGTGACAATCACAGAGCTTTAGGTATTTTTCCACTGTTTTTAGTAAGAGCAAGGCTGAACCCACTAGTCTTCAGGTAGTCAGTTTTACTTCTTATGTGCAATAGCCACCAATTTTCAGGACTAGCTGAGATGGATTTTGTATACTTTAAGGTGCTGAAAACAAGTAAGCAAGGTAATTTTAAAAAAAAAGAACCAAACCCCCAATATTTTGGTGTGTGCTCTCAGCTCTACACTGTTAGCTCCTCCGCAGGTGGCCAGTTTGGCTCTTAGCAATGCTATTTGTGTACTCATTGTTCTGTTTTGCAGTTGTTCACTGTTTTGTAGTGTGTGATGGATTTTGAGATGTTGTTGCATCCTTGCTACTGCTCCTGTTGTAGAATATGTACTTACAAAGACAAGGCTGTGCAGCAGTAGTAGATGTAGACCTAGGTCAAGTGCCTCAGCCAGTGGCTGTGAGATGGATTTCATGTTGCATCAAATGAGGCACATGCCAGTAGATAGTGTGAACTGGGAGAGGCTGTGTGTTAAAGATGTTAGATGCTACTGATCACCCAACTGGAGCCTTCTTGGCCCTTGTGTGAGGGACCCTCAGGTTACACTGAAGGGCCCTGTCAAGTTGCCAGGTCTCTCAGCTCCCGCCCGCCTGTCCGCCCTGCTGTATTGCCATTGCCAAATAACCCGTATGCAGGCCTTTGCATCATGACACAGGTTGGTGACCCCTGGTCTATACCACTTTCTCTGTTCAGTTGTTTTAACTTACTGTATGCTTCCTTTTGTGGATTCTGTTAAAACTAATGCTGCAAATAATTTCATGAACTATATTGTATTAAAAAACAGCTCCATATTTAAATACTTTATCTCGTGAAAAACTCTGTGACAACCAGCAAAAGAATTGGTTACTTTAAATCTTACCCAGCATACTACTGCTTTTCTACAAGTGCAGTGAGGATCTAAGGGGTTGGAAATAAGTTGGACACAGTGTTGAAAGCAGATTGAAACCAGGTTCAATTAAACTGTAATAATTTTGATACACTGGCTTAGTGGTGGTTTAGAGTCCCATCTGCCAAAAAAGGAGTTTGTACCCATTTGTTAGCTTTTTCTCCTGTAGCCCTCCAGAAGTGGCCACCAAATTTATTTAATCAAATGGGCCTCACTCCTTAGTTAGACAGGCTCGATGTCTTGCTCATGGCCAGTTCCTCTCACATGCTTCAGGGTGTGTTCTTTGGTTTTCTGATGAGTGCCTACTGAGAAGAAACTGTTGTTTGTATGGAAGAATCATGAAAGTTGTGTGTGTCTGCACATTTGTGAGGAAGGGACTTAGTAGGAAGCAGACCTAGCTTGTCACGACCTGCAGCCTCAAGAGAAACTAGCTAACTGGCTGTCCCTGAGGTACTTTGAGGAAAACTGTATGTCCAAGTCTTTCACCCCAGAATAACTTTGGATGACATGGGCTTGTTGCAGAGGACAATGTTGGGACTGATCTGTTTAGGGAGAGATATTAATATAAAGTGACCTCTGAATATTACATAAATGCTTTTACTCCTCCCCCTCACACAAGTTCCCAGTTATGACTGACTGTGTCATCCGAACAATGAGCTGCTCCTGAATCACAAAGCCAAAAATAAAAGAAGACAGCTGAATCACTTTCCCTTATTGCACTGAGAAGTTGATATCTGAGTCAAAGTTGATTTTTCCTCCCATGCTGGAAATAGCTCTTTCAGGTGCAAGAGACATTTAGAGAAAGACTTAAGGTAACTCAGGTGGTGTTATTTTTCGTAGAAGCACAGTGAGGGGCTGTACTCCCCTGGGGCAGGTGCTTGACAAACAGAGAGACATTACTTGCCCTAAAATTTGCAATGTAAACAGTCAACTTCAGAGCAAGTAGAGAGAACATCTCTCAGCAGTGAGGGTGAGGAGGCCAAGAAATTCATTCAGCTGAGCACCAAATGTCACCTGAGGTGCTATTAACTGACTTTTGCGACATTCAGTCCCACTTCCATCCTAGATAACAACCAGAGATGCAGCGAGGTGAGAAATGCCAGCCAAGAGTCTTAACACAGAAAAGCAGTGCAGGTTCCAGTGAGGCAACTTCAAAGTAAATAGAGAAACAAATGAATGGAGAGAGAACATGCATATTAATGAGCTTGAAGCAGTATGCCCAAAGCAAGCTTGCCATTAGCATGACCTGTTTCAAAAGGTAGTGACATTAACAGCTGAGCCATTACAGGGAGGACAATGGCTTTAGGAAGAAGGAAGATGCCTCTTAGGAATTCAGACCAGAAAGGGAAGAATTATTACAGGTGACTTCATCATCCTTTGCTCCATTCTGCTTTCAAAAGCCACCACATATCAGCCTTGATAGATCTGCTTTTTGTGCCCCATCAGTCCTGAGCTGCAAAGGAAACGTGCTGATGTTTTTGTCCCTGCAGAGCTGACATGGTGGATGTAGAGCAAGCTGGAGCCTGGTCCCTGGGCAGAAGTGTTTGCTAAATTGCAATTAGTCACATCTGTGCAGCCTTGCTGAGGGCAGGGATTAAATGGGAGAGCATTGCAGAGGCCCTGGTGCTGGCCAGCTGGAGGGGGAAGGACAGCTGCAGGGTAAGAGGGTTGAAAAGGAAGGATGTCAGCTCCCCTCATTCTCTTGTTTGAGTCTGGTAGTCAGATTGGGGCAATGAGAAAGGAAAGGCTTCTGCTCCTTTTTAAACTTAAGCATTCTTACCAAGAGAAGTGGAATATTGAAAGAGCCAAGCAACTGTCTTTGCAGTGTTTTTTTGAGAGATGCAGTTTCCTTTACAATATTTTAAGAGAGTAAGAAGGAGGGAAGACAGAAAAAACAAGTGACTGAGAGAGACATTACTGAAACAAAACAACATATTTGCACAATCTGCTTTTTTGCTTCTAGTGTGGTATAATGCGGTTACTCGTTGAGGAAATACGATACTGGCCATGCATGTCTGGGTGCTAATTATTATCATCATTAATGGCTTGTGCTACTCTCTGTGACTTTCTAAAAATGTTTTTAAGTTGATTTTTCAAGCATGCCTGGTCTTTCTACTTGCACATAGTACAAAAATAAACAAAGACTGTCTTTTCTGCTTACTTATCAAATCAAAGGGAGGACTTGATGTGAGGTGTTTCAACTAGTTTATATAATATATCATTTACAACACATTTAACAGCACATAACGTAAGGTTTTGTCAGGAAAATTGTGCAAACAATATACCTCGGTTTACATTCCAGTATTGCCTTGTAATTTGTGGACTTGGGAGCCAGAGAGCAGCTGTCTTTGTAAAGCTGCAAGCTGATAAACAGGATCCTGTCTCACTTCCTAATGGCAGAAATGACTCCCAGCTCCTGCAGAGTTGTTTCAGTGCAGCTCAGGTTGCCTCTTCATGATGCAGTATGTATAGGATGTGTTTGTGTATATAAAATTCAGGGGCACGTTAACTGGTGGTGCTTCAGAAAAGAGGAGGTTAGCAGAGTGTCTATGGTTTGTATGCAGTTTATCATCAAATCTTACCTTTAAAGAATTTGGCCATTAGGGACTAATTAGTCACGGTAAGGTTGGGTTTTTTTTTCCCCACAGTGGTTTCTTACTGGAAGTTACATTTAAACCTTCAGTTCTCTAGAACTGTAAAATTTGTTACCTTTTAATTTTTCTTGATATTTGTTCTGGTATTTTAACAGTGTGGAACAGTAGAAATCAAGAAATTTATCTTGTTTTTGCTAGCCTTTAGGCAGAAAATCACAATAGTGAGTTACTTCTGAATTTGAAGGAATTGTGCATGATGAGGTCTTGTAAATGCATTTCAGGCTTGTTATAAATATAAATGTTTTCGATTATGTTTGGTCTAAATGTTTTGCCTCGATGATGACTGAGGCCAAGGGTTTATTTCTAAAGCTTACTTTAATTTTTCTGTATATGTATCACAAACAAAATATTTTAGATATATACGCTGGGATAAAAATAATGTTCAGAACCACCTCTCTGGGACAAGTCAGTGGTAATTCATGTAAGCTTACTTGCCTGTCTTCTCTCAGGATCTTTGTTATCTGGTCTTGTTGGCTTCATTCTAGTTCTTCTCCCTCGCTGAACAACTGGCACATAATTCAGGACAATTACATGTTATGTTTGCTGAGGAGATAACCAGAATGGAAGAAACAGGAGCATTGCAGATAAAGACTGAATTGCATTTGGTAACTTCGGGTAGACACAGCATCTGTGGTCTCACTAGATAGAGCAGACTGTTGCAGTGTCTCAACTTCACAAACAACAGATTAGATTTCCCAGAGGGGCTATTGATAGTGCTAGGCCATAAGTACAGCTTGTGAACTGGATTACTGTCTTCCTCCATGAATGAACAAATGGAGCTGAGAAGAAAACTATTAAAATATTTCAGTTTTCGAACATTCCCACTGTGCATCTGAAAAAACAAGACTGCTTGAATGTTTCTCATTTATGTTTGCAAAATGATAGACAGTGAACTAAGCACTGTGGTAAGTCTGTGATCAGCTCCCCTGCTGAAGCTATTCTGCCATATAAAAATAGTTATGTATTGGCCAACTGAAACGTGGTATTATAGCCCACTGAGCCTACTGAAGTTTAACATTCAAATCTCTGCTCAGCCTTTTTCCTCTGTCCCAGTTGCATGCCATGATTGTGTGATGAATGCCAAGAGTGAGCACGGTGAGCACCCTAAGTCCAGTGGTGACATAATGGAGTTTCTTGCAAAGGAGTCACTTCCAGCTATGCCTGTAGTTAATGAATAAAGGAGCTGCAGCATGAAGAGCTTGGAGTGAATATGACTTAAAAACTGCTTGAGTACATTTTGACAGACTTACAGGAGACATATGAAATGACTGATTTGGGATGTGTGTCACTT